GCGCGCACTTGAACAACCCGGAGTAAACCCGGACTGGGTTCGTTTCAGCATTTCAAAATCAACGACCATGCCCCGGTCGGCCGAGGCCATGGCGGACGCTGCGCCCGACGACGGTGGCGATGGCGATGCGACTGCTACCTCGCCCAAGCAAGTAGAGACGGACGACGCGCATCTGCCAAGCGCTGTCTCGATCCATGAGGCCATCCGCATGGTCGGCTACGGACGCTTCCAGCGAACGCTTCTCGTTGTCTCGGGGCTCATGTTCATGGCCGTACGCCACCTTGGCCGCTAGCATTGGCCTCATCCTGCAGACACTAGGATGCGACCGAGGTCATGCTGCTCTCGTTCCTCCAGGTGCTCGTGAAGGACGAGTGGCACCTCAGCTACGCGCAGGAAGCCGGAATCACGGCCGCGGTCTTTGCCGGCGAGCTGCCCGGCGCTCTCTTCTGGGGCTACTTTGGCGACAAGTACGGTCGGCGCATGGGCTTTCTTTGGTCCGCGCTCTGCATTGCGATCTTCGGCGTGCTCTCCGCCTTTGCGACCAACGTCTACTACCTCATGGCGTGTCGGGCGGTCGTCGGCTTTGGCGTCGCCGGTACGTCACCGCGCAGAATTCAATGTATCAAGTACCTATACATCGACTTCAACGTGGACTAGGATCGCTCGTACCTTTCGACCTCATGGCCGAGTTTCTTCCCGACAAAGAGCGCGGGCGCATCCTCCTCTACTTTCAGCTCTTCTGGACGGTGGGTATTGGCTTCGTCGCCGTCTTGGCCTGGTCGGTCCTTGAGCCCCTCGGATGGCGCTGGCTCACAGGTACGTTGTTGTCTCCATATCAACTCGTAAAGGAGGTGTCTAGCTCTCTGCGCCACACCGCTTCTTCTTGTGCTTGCGTCATTTCCGTGGATGCCCGAGTCGCCCAAGTGGCTCTGCGATCAAATGCGCTTTGAGGAAGCGCTTGTCGTGCTGCGCATGACTGCGTCACTCAACGGCACCGAACTGGACCCGACTCTGAGTTTGCGTCCGATGGAGTCGACCAAGTACAACAAACACCGTGGCGTTCACGAGCTTTGCGGGCCCGTGCTTCGGCGGGCGTCGACCATGCTGTTCCTCATTTGGTTTGGCTTTGGGCTTGCCTACTATGGGTACAACTCTAGCTCCAACATTTCGCGCGTTTTGTATATATGAGTGACGTGCGTAGCATCATTCTGCTGTTCCCACGGCTGTTTGCACAGTCGTCGTCGTCCACCGAGACGTTCAACTATGCAAGCATCTTTCTCGCCGCCCTCGCCGAAGTCCTCGGCGTTCTCTGCACGATCGCTGTCGTCGATCGCGTATATTTTGCTTGCGAGACATCTCATTTCTTATCCTCAGCTGTAGTGGGGTCGACGGGGCACGCAGGTCGTCATGTACGGTGTGGCGACTCTCGCTGTGCTCGCGTCGGCCGCCGAGTGGAGCCTATGGCTCTTGACGCTCCTAGCGATGCTTGCTCGGGCGGCGATCATGGGGGCGTCCAGCACCACGTGGCTAGCGACCCCCGAGGCCTTCCCGACACATGGTACGCCAATCTATGAAGTAGCAACTTGACGGAGATGACGACTAGTGCGCACGACGGGCCATGGGATTGCCAGTGGCATGGCTCGCATTGGAGGGTTTCTCACTCCGTTCTTGGCCGACGCACCGGGTATGACGGTCGAGTACATCTGCGGCATCTACGGCATCGTACTCGGCCTCACGACGGTCGCCGCGTACGGTCTTCCGCCGGATCCGACCGATCCGGATGACGTTGCGCTCTCCACCGAGCTCCAAGGGCTCACGACGAGCGAAGAAAGCAGCTCCACCAACCTCACGCCAAGCGGTGACGACGACGCACAAGTATCGTGATCTCGGATTAAATACGAAACCACGAGCTCGTTTTTTGGTTGTTCGACGAACTGCTGCTGATCGGTGGCATGGCCAAAGACGGTCGTCGCGGCGTCGCGGGGTCTTGGTTGGGCCGTGGTAAGCTGCTCAGTTGCTTGCGGAGCACACTGGGGGGCTTGGGAACCCGTGGCGGGATGTCTGCTGTCGCCATCGCAGTCTTTTCTAGCAGTGCTTGGACACGTTGTGAGAGGCACCGGTTCTCGTTCTTCATGGCCATGTACTTTTCAAATGTTGTCGACGCTTCCACGTCCTGCACGTATGCCTCAAGCTGCGTCATGTCGCATAGTTGGCCAACACGAAACGTTATATCGCACCGAGTCGACTTTGGCAGCGAGGTTGGTGCTATGCGCGTCGGCCATCGCGAGGTCTCGCTGCAGCTGCGTCACCAAACACTTGGTGGTTTCAGCGCGAACCTGTCTAGCCGACTACGAATTCTGGCAACCAGGCAGGAGACCTACCTTGCAATCTTGGAGGTCCCCATCCAGACGGTCTCGCTGGTGGGTCATTTCAATGAGCTGCTTCGTGGCAAGTGCCAGCTCTACGTTAAAATGAGATGCGAAACTCTGAGAACGCAGTGCGCCTACGCGTCTCAGTCTCGGTGCAGAGCTTGCACCGAACCGGCGCACTGGGCTACGTAGACAAGGGTCAGACTTGCAGAGGGGCGTGGACTTGGCCAACGTCAGGAACGGGAGGCTGCGCACTCAGCTCTTGCAGCTGCGTTTCAAGGGTTGCCAGACGACCCGCGAGCTTTTCGTTTTCCCGCGTGATGGCCTCCTACGCCGCACGCCTTCCGAGATGGCTGAATGAATAGAAACACCCCACCAGATCATGCTTGGTCGCGGCAAGCTGGTAACACACTTGGTCGTTGACATTGCGCAACGACGACGTACTCGCCTCGCTAGCTTCGAGGCGCCTCTGGAGGTCGAGTTCGCTTGCTTCCAGTTCCTATATACGTCTAAGAACACGCAGCTCAAGGCTCGCACCGCACCTCGACACGGACGTCAAGGTTCGTAACGCGCTCTTCGAGGCAAGAAATCTTCGCCTTCGAGTCCTACGCACTCCCGCACATGACAACAACGTCCATGAGGGGATGCGAGAGCGCACGGCCAGCTGTGTCTTTAATGCGGCAACGTCTGTGTCGCTCGCTTCCACAGATGCGGCGTGGGTCTCTTGCAGCGCAACGAGCTGGGCGTTCACGTCGTTTGCGTCGGCCTGCACTTTGGCCAGTCGCTTGGCCAAGCGGTCTCGGTCCTCTGACGTTTTGGTGGCGTCCTGCATGCTGGAGACGACCATGCGCTCGAGCTCGACGTTGCGGGCCGCGACGAACGTCAGCTGACTCTCGGTGTTGATGTAGCCTTTCTCACGGGCCTTAAACCACCACCAATTTGAAGCCACATGTGCATCAGCAGAATCAATACCTCCATAGCCGCGACCTTGATACGCAGCGCGAGCACCTCGTCTTCGAGATCATTCAGCGCCTCGAGGTTGCGCAGGTGCAGAAGTCGGCTGCGTATGTCATCGTCGCCCATCGCGGCGGCAAAGTCGGTTTCGCTACCAGTTACGTCGGCGCTTGAACGATGCATACGCACTTGAGTCAAGTCGACACCGTACACGAAATCGCGCTCTGCATAGCATCAAAGCATACGTAGTGCTACTGCAGTGGCAGCGTATCTTCTGTAGGTCGGGACTTCAAGGACGCGCGCGACTTGAGTCATCTGCCTTGCCCTATTTATAGCCGCCAGCGTAGCCAGGACGGTTGTTGCGAAGATGCTGCGACAACTCGGGGGTGGGCCGTCATCGCCGATCGTGCCCATATCTTCCGCGGTCTCCCCGGTATCGACGCGCGGACTTGTCTATGTGCAAGC